TTACTGCTATAATCTGCATAACCCCAATGCAATAATGTTTAATCAAAAACATTTCAGTGAAGTCTTTATGTACGAGAATTAGATTAAAATCTTTAGGTTTTCTGTTCTTCTTCCTTCAATAACTATCATGCAGAATTTTATGGAAGAGAGAAGCAACCTAGAATAGTGGTTCTCAACCTTTTTAATGCTGCGACCCCCAATTGGACGTAAGTCGAGGACTACCCAACCGGTCGTAAGTCAAAGACTACCCAACCGGTCATAAGTCAAGGACTTTCCCTGCCTGGGAGCGCCGCGCATGCGTGGTGCTGCCCCCTGAGCCAGCCGAGGCGTAGCTGGCAAGCAGCAGAGACGGCGCAGGCCAACCACCGACTGGGCCACCAGCTGGCCCAGCCCAAGGGAGGTAAGGCATCCGCCAGGCCCCACGCGCGCCAGCAACCCTCCCTGCGCCCGCCAGCCTCCCACCTCCCACCCCTGGCCCTCTTTTACTTACATTTTTAGTAGTTGCTCAGCAGGGAGGGGTGGAAACTTCGAGACAGCTCGCCTTCGCTGCAGACAACTTGCAGCACCGTTTGCAGAATGGGACTTTTGGCGGGCTTAGCAGGGCAGAGATAGCCTGGACAATTCCTATTGGCTTTTGAAATCCAATAGAATTAGACTCTATTCAAGAGAGTCTATTCTAGATACGGGGAAATAGCAGGTTTAAAGATAAATAAAGAAAAAACTAAAATGCTAGTCAAAAATATGACTAAAATACAGAAAAATGAATTGGTTGACAGAATTGGTGTTCAAACCACAAATAAAATTAGATATTTAGGGATACAACTGACTGCCAAATGCACTACGCTTAAAAGGGATAACTACGATAAGTTAATAGAACAGATTCAAAAAGATTTTGATATTTGGACTAACCTACAGCTCTCTTTTATGGGTAGAATTGCGGTGATTAAAATGAATGTGTTGCCAAAAATCTTATTTTTGTTCCAATGTATATCTATAAAATTAGACAAGAAATTTTTTCAAAATTTGAATAAAATGATGTGTAAATTCATCTGGCAAGGAAAAAGAGCAAGGATTAAATTAAAATTACTGCAGAACTCAAAGGAAAGGGGGGGATTTGGTCTTCCAGACTTGGAGAAATATTACCAGGCCGCAGCATTAGTATGGGTAAGAGATTGGATATTACTAAAGAACAGGAGACTATTATGTCTGGAGGTCCATGACCTACAAATAGGATGGCACGCCATATTATGGGATCATAAATATAAAGTACATAAATATTTTCGAAGTCACTATATTAGGCAAGCTCTTATTGATGTATGGACAAAAATTTGGCAACCAAATTATACCCAAGTACTTAGTTGGATCTCACCGTTAGAAATATATGTACACCCAAAATTTACTCAATTAGACAAGACCATAACATATAAAAATATCTTAGATGAAAGAGGGGAATTGAAATCCAGGAAAACCATCCACGATGAAGGGATAGAATTAGAATGGTGGGCATACCTGCAACTGCAGGCGAGATATCGGAAAGACAAAAAAGAGTTAGGCATTAAATTAGAACCAATAGAATTGGATAAAATAATTTTGGGGTCGGAGGATAAAATGATTAAAAAATTATACTACTATTTGCTAGATCAGGCAATGTACGAGGAACAAGTAAAAGTGACTATGTTGAATTGGAGCAAGGACTTTGGTCTTAATTTTGATCTGCACATATGGCAAGAACTATGGGCAAGAAACAAGAAGCTTACTTTGGCCACCTCTTACAAAGAGAACCTTTACAAAATGTTTTATAGATGGCATCTCCCACCCACAAGATTGTCTAAAATGTATACCAATGTCTCCCCTAAATGTTGGAAATGTAATTTGAAAAGTGGAACTTACTATCATATGTGGTGGGAATGCACGCGAGCTCGTGATTTTTGGAATAGGATTAAAGTATGGTTGGAAGAAATATTAGAGCAAGCGGTAGAACTAAAACCAGAACTCTTTCTATTAGGTTTAACTACGCAAAAGCATGACAAAGGCGTACTTTATTTAATGCTACACATTTTAACAGCTTCCAGGCTGGTTTTTGCTCAAAATTGGAGGAATAAGGGAACTCCAACGGAAGAAGAGATCCTGCATAAAATTCTATCATGTGCTGAGATGGACAGGCTTACAATGATTATGAAAGACAAAACAGAACACGAATACTTCGAAATCTGGGGCAAATTTTACCATTGGTATGAATTAAGAACTGCTCAGACTTCAAGTTAATGGTAGAATTAAAAGATATACATAACTGTACATATAATTGTATATATAATTGCATTGTATAGAAGATGAGGCTTATATAGAGGTTAAGAACAATGTATTAAACTTTTGTACTATGATAGGAACTGATAGGAAAATTCACTCTGGAATGTCATGTTTGTCCATTGTTGTTTTAATTGTATTATGAATAAAAATTAAAAAGAGAGAGAGAGAGAGTCTATTCTATTGGCTTTCAAAAGCCAATAGAATAAAAGGGAGTAGCACAGCTAAGGAAAAGGGGGAAAAAATGGCAGACTGCGTTGTTTGGCGACCCCCGTGAAATGATCATTCAATCCCAAATGGGGTCCCGACCCACAGGTTGAGAACCGCTGACCTAGAACTAAGGAGAAATTTCCTGACAGTTAGAACAATTAATCAGTGGAATAACCTCCTTCCAGAAGCTGTGAAAGCTCCAATACTGGAAGTTTTTAAGAAGAGACTAGACAGCCATTTGTCTGAATTGGTATAGGGTTTCCTGCCTGAGCAGGGGGTTGGACTAGAAGACCTCAAAGGTCCCTTCCAACTCTACTACTACTACTACTACTACTACTACTACTACTACTACCATCACCTCTATTATTTTTTTGTAAGAAAAAGTATTCAGTTACCAAAAATACTTTGCTAAATTTCTGTATACCAGGTTAATGTTAGAGATTCAAAAGTAAGGTTACAAATTCTATCTATAAAGAAAATCTATATAAAATGTGTTATAGATGGCATTTACCACCTGCAAGGTTAGCAAAAATGTTTAAAAACATGTCTAGCAATTGTTGGAAATGCAGGCAAAAGCCAGGCACGTACTACCACCTTTGTTGGATTTGCCCTAAAGCAAAAAAATTCTGGTCGAAAATACATATGTGGTTAGAGAAAATGTTAAAAAAAACATGTAGATTTTAAGCTGGAATTATTTCTTTTAGGTATAACCTCAGAAAACTATGATAAAGTATATATCTAATACTACATGTACTAACAGCCGCAAGAATTACATTTACATAGCATTGGAAAAATGAAAAAACACCAGCCGAAGAAGACATAATTAAGAAAATTCTGGACTGTGCAGAAATGGACAGGTTTACATTGAAAATGAAAGGGAAAGAAGAAACAAAATATTTCAAACATGGGATATTTTTTACAAATGCTAGAAAAACAGAGTAGAGAGTAGGAATGGAAGATGTATTATTATTATTAAGTTAAATATGTGGACCCAGACGATACTTTGTTTACTAAACATGAGAGATTTGTAACTATAAAAAATTAATAAAATATCTTACAAAAAAAAGTAAGGTTACAAATTCTGGATTATGTTTTGATTTGGGAAAGATATTTAAAACAATTGGAATAATGCCTGCCTAATTTTCTTGTCTAGACTGAGATTGATGATGGTTAGTGAGATTGATGTAGAGAAGGACATTTCAAAATTCATGTGGTTCAATTCATGTGAAAGATTAATTACTGCAGTAACCTTGATAGGTGGTCATCCAGATACTGCATAAATCTGTACAATGAAGAGCAGTCCACCTCCCCGCATGCAAGGTTGTATAGCTGACAATTAACATTCACCATTAGGAAAATCTTTTTGCTTGTAATTTAGGCCAGTGAATACATTTGGAATTCTAAGAATATGTTATGGGCCCATTCACAAAATGTTTGGATATGGCCTATCAAACACACACACACACACACACACACACACACACACACACACACACACACACACACACACACATCATTACCAGCATGCAAAAGGGTGAGATTGTTTCCTCCAATTTTTATTGTCACATGTGCATACTCCTTTTCTACCTGGGACAAAGTTTATTTAGCCATGGAAATCCTATCCAGGGTTTTTGGTTTATCATGAAGACTTTTGCTTTGGTGCAACCCTTAATTTGATGTCCCTCTGTCAATATGATTCATTGAGAGAGAGGGAGAGGGAGACGGAGGGAGGGAGGGAGAAGGAGGAGGAGGGGGGAGAGGGGAAGGAGACCACACAGTGACCATGGTCTCTTTTTCATGGCCCTGTTCAGGTCCCATTCTGGGAAGCAATTGAGAAAAGAACTCTGTGACTTCAATCTCCTTCCCTTTTTTCTTGAATTATTTTATTCTGTCATATGTGACTCTTAGGAGGAAAAAAAAACCCCATCCTATCCTATCTTAAATGTGTTGACAAACATTCCATCTAGATTCCTTTTCACATTTCTAGAGGGAATTGGCCAGCGGAGAGGAGAGAACTTGTCCAGACCTGTTGATAAACTCGTTTCATATTTAGACGCTCGCTTCCTCCGCCTCCCCCATCGGTATTAATTAACTACTGTATCGTTTTCCCCTGAATTTTAGATAGTCCTCCGCCTAGTCCAAGGCTTGACAAACATTTGAAGTTTGACTTCCTCTCCTTTCCCTCTAATATAGGTGAGAAAAATAGACGTGTCTGGACCTGTTGAGCTCCATCCAACCCACCGCCTTATTCTCCCTCTGTCTTCCCCCTGGGGTGCGGGGCGGCTGAAGGAGTTGCTTAGCCGGCTGGGTGGGCGGACCTTTAGAGGCAACGCGGCGGCTTTTTCGACCGGCTGGCGAGGGCGAAGCTTTGGAAGGGAGGTCCCCAGGGGCTCGGTGACATCACGCCGCGGGCGGGCCAATTGGAGGCGGCAAGGGGCGGGCTCGGAGATGAAAGGAGAAGGGGGCGAGACGGGAGGGGTGGGGGACAAGCGTCCCCTCGGTGGTTTTCCTCCTCTCTTGTGGGACCCGGCGTGGAGAAAAGAGGGCGCTCGGGGGGAGCTTGAGGGAGAAGGCGAGGAGCGGGCGCCGTTGCTTGGACGCGAGCGACGGAAGGGCCCGAGGAGGCGGCGGAGTGGCAGCCGCTGCAGGTGGCAGTGTAGACGTCGGAGCTTCCCTTTGCTTGACACCAAGGGCTAAGGAGGCGGCGCTGTTCGAGCATGAAGCTGTCTGGCAGCGGCAACATTGGTAGCGGTCGCCGCCGCCGATCGCTCGAAACGCGGTAGTGGCCGGGGCCGTGGATAAGGCGGTGGCGGCGGCGGCGGCGGCGGCGGCGTCTGGGCGTTCTCCTTGTCCTGCCGCGGAAAGTCCCCCAGACCTTTTGATGATGACGATGAATTCTCTGGCCGAGAGCCTGCTGGGACCGCCGGACCCGTCTAAAGCGGCTTTTCTGGACTTCGGGCTGGGTCCCCCGCCTTCTCCGCACCAGCAACCCCAGCCCTCGCAGCCGCAGCAACACCCGACCACCTTGGCTCCTCCATATTCGCTCCAAGCCTTGCATCCGCTGCCGCCGCCGCCGCAGCAGCAGCAGCCCCCGCACGACGGCGGTGTCTTTCCTCCTCCCGCCGCCTCCTACGGCAGCAGACCCCTGGCATATCCCCCTTACCCCGGGGCAGCCGGTGGCAGCCCTCACGCTTTCTACCATCACCACCACCACGGCACTTCCTACTCGCCTTACCAGCAGACCTCGAGCGCCTTGGGCCATGGGACGAGGCTGGAGGAGACGGGTAAGGGGAGGCTGGCTAGCTTGGGCGAAGGGGCGGGAAGCAAGCCGGGGCTGCTAAACTCCTCGCCCCATTCGGGGGTTGACGCAATCTCCGTTATTTTATCTGGATGGTAGGTTTTCGACATTCGTAAGATCACCCTTGAACACCTGTCCAGAATAGCCCCTTCCTCAAGCCACCGAAAGGTTGGGCTACAACTCTCGTTGTCCGAGACAAGAGGCCCGTGGCCTCAGGAGTGACGAGAGTTATAGCGCAGCACCCCTGAAAGAAAAAAGCTGAAGAAATGTGGGCAGAAATGTGCTGTTTTCAAAGCCTTAGGAGGGAATGGAATAAATCAGTATTAATGTCCGTCACTAACAGATAATGTTGCCCCTTTTCTTTTCAGGTTTATTTTTGGGGGCGGCGGGGGGGGGAGAGTTGAGTTGACAAGCAGATTACGAGTTAGAGAGAAAAATACGAATTGCCCTTTTTTAAATTAGAAGTTAACCTGAGTTTATTAGTTCGAAAATAAATCTGAGGTCGCAAATTTAGCCGAGACTTCCCCGTTCCATTGTTCGCAAAGAGGGTTGAGCCAGTCTTGGCCTCTTCTCCGTGGCATGAAACAACCCCCAATTCCTCCTGGGGAACGTGACTCAAATGTGGATCGAAAACTTCAGGCCATTCCAAAAAGTGTCAGGGGATTTTTATTTTATTTTAATTTATTTATTTTTGCATTTACTCAGTATAAAATCTGCATTGCCCGCCATTTCGTTTGCAGCGCTCTTAGACAAAGCTGAGTTGAAGCAAGCATTTTAATTACTGCACAATTATTTACAAGTACCGGCGAGGAATCTATGGGACAGTAGTCTACTTAGGTGGGATCTCTCTTCCCTGCATGCTCTACTGGCAGGCTCTAACGTAATTTAAGCTAAGAGAAAAATAATAAACACAGTGCAACATTTTATTCAGAAATGCGACCTTTTAGAAAATGAAAGCAATTTTGCAATGAAATAAATTACAACCCATTGTATTATGCCACCCTTAGATTGTATAATTAGAGGGACAGATCTTAACTTGAATAAGCTATCATATGGATCCTGAAATAGTTTGCACGTGATTCAAAAACTTCTTTCAATGAATATTTATTCTCTTCCTCTCCCCCCACCAATTTTTTTTTCAAAGAATCAGCATTAGCTTCCCTTCTCTGCTTTTCTCCCCTTCACCCCTATCCCCAGGAGGAAATAGTCTTGCTCCTCCTGAATTACTTGTTCCTGGGATCCATTTGATTAGCATCAAAGCTTCACAGGGCCATGACTGAAGCAGTAGCACATAGATCTAAGCAGGAGAAAGGCACTCCTCTTGGGGGCAAAACTCAGATGCTCAAGCAGCCAGAGGAGGAAATCTCATTGGCATCTCTCCTTTCGGAACTGGGATGTTGCTTTCCAGCCTGCCTGATCATATGAGCACTGCTCATCAACCAATTCAACCAGATAATACTAGGCTGGAAAAGGTTACTAGGTAGAGTTTGCATAGTTGGGCAATGACAAAATAATGTGCAAGCTTTCAGAACTCTTAATGAAAGAACTGGTGCAAAAATGCAAGAAAACAGTAAAATTAGTCATGCTGAAAATAAACTTGATGCGAAGGATCAGACTGAGGCACAGAAATTGGCCTAGCCAGCTGGGGAGAATAAGCATCGCAACCTCTCTGAATAGTGCCAAATGAGAAAGGAGCATGCCTGTAGCTCAGTGTTTTGCAACTCCCAGAATTCCCCAGGCAGGCAGCATGCTGTCACCAGTCAGCATGCAGGCTGGAGAGTTCTAGGAGCTGAAAACCACACATCTTAAAATTGCCAAGGTTGAAAAATTCTGCTTTAGCAACATTTCTGCTGGAAATGCTATTCTGCTTTGAGACTTGGTTTTCAACTGACTTACATTCTTGTGGTACTCTTTCAAGGTTGCATAAGAGACCATGGACACCTTTAATATATTTTGTTTTGAAGAGACTAATCCAGACAAATGATGATCCAAGCAATTTAAATATGATATGTCATTTATTTCTGGTCATTTCTCCCTGCTGCATTTGTTTATATCCTTCCTGGAAACTTCCCTTTCCTCCCCAGCTCATCTAGATTGAACATGCCTCTGGGCACTGCTCTGTTGTGTTGCTGGTATTCATAGCTATGTCAAACAACCAGGTACACTGAATTGCTCTATAAATAACTTAATACAAGAGGTAGAAATTGTTCAGGAAGTCACCTGGAAAAATTCAAAGGTAGATGGTATGGGACTGAAACCTTTGTTGATATATATGCAAAGTGTCTCTTCCCACCCCTACTGCTTGGCTAGTTTCCATCCTCTTGATATAGTGAACAGGAATTAAGCCCTATTTTTTTCCTGGCTTAAGTCTTAACCCTAAATCTGGTCTCATGTCCAGGTTTTGGACTTCAACCTCTATAAGCTCCTGCATTCAATAAATTGAATTGGATACACCATATCTGCACCTGACAATTTACATTGTTTTACTCCCTCCACTTATGTATACTTTTTAATTAGCTTTCTAGCCCAAATTCCCCTTCAAGGAAAAATATGCTTTACATTTCCAGGATGTTCCTAGAAACATTTATCTATTTATCACTTTGGATTGGAGGTTACTACTAATTATCTTTTGGCACAGAAAATGTACTCTTTTGTTTTTTATTTTCTACCATCTTTGTTAAGAACTTTCTTCCTGGCCTATGTTCAAGGACACTTAGTCTAATGATATAGGAATTCTTTTGTGCCAATCTCGTCTTCCACTAAAGGATGGCATTTTATTCAGCATTTACTGTATATATTCCCCCCTCCATTTCTGTAATAATGAATGTTTTACAATGCACTAGTAAAATATAAAAAAGGTTATTTTGTTCAACTATAGTAATTATAACTATATTTAAAACTCGGAGCAGTATTCCCCTTTCTAATTCTAAAGGTATTCCGACTTTAAGGTTAATTCATAACCCCTAGGCTATCTGTCTCTCCCCACCACCACAGCTCCCACCAGCACCTATCCAAACTTCACAGAAACCTTTCCTAGAATTCCATGACATTAATTTGTCAAATTTAAGGGAAGCTCTTGTTAGCTTCCCTTGATGATGGCTGTACACATGTGAAAACGGGCAATTTTCAGAATTGTTCAGCAACCAACCACTGCCAAAAAGATAAAAGGAACTCATGGGCATTAGAGATATAGCGAGACATTTTTCCCTGCCAAAATAAAAACAGGAGCTTTTAATTTAAGCATATCAAGAGTGATTTACTTGCAGTATTGGCAATACTAGAAGCAAAATGCTTCCAGTGTTGGTGAAAGGCAAAGAGACCCGTCTTCATTCTGTGGAGAAATAGCCTTGCCTAAGCCCTTGCCTTCTTTCTGCACAGAAAGGAATCATTGGATTAGTAATGTCAGTTCGTGCTCCCTAATGAAGTTAGGTGTTTATTAAATGCCCCTTATTTACTTGTACTATATAATTTTTTTATTTTAATTGGTACCTGTCAAACAAACAAGTAAAAGAGAAAGCGTCTTGCTACTATTTGAAACCAAATGCAGTAGCCAGCGAAAGTGGTCCCTTGCTGCTCCTTTGATTGAGGGAGTAAAACTATTAAAGGCGAGACAGTAGATCCCACCGGCAGCTAATTAATTAGCAGGTATTAATCGTTATGAACCTGATGAGTGGGAAAGGGGAGTCCACCGCAAATATCCCAAACCAAGCAGCCAGGTTAACTGCGGTTGTGGTGGGTGCGCACTCAATGAAGGGGTTGAACGATCTCCATTTAGGGGACACTGAGTTTAGGAACCGTATTAATTTTCATTCCGATCTGTGGATCCAACTAGGCAAGGCGCTTCGTTTTTAACTGCTGATGTTTTCCAGGTTTGTTCAGGAGAAGCTCGCCGCGGAGGGTCTGTTCCCCCTCGCAATTTACTGCACCATCCAGCTGTTGCTGAGACAATGTATCAGCCACAGAAATTTTCTCCGACGAGGTTTAGTCTAGCGTCACTCACCGCAGTGGTGGAGAGCCGATCTTCATGTTATATCGGCTGAGCAATGTAACTAAACAGATTAAAATCCGTAGGAGTTTTTCTTTTTAGGCCAGATTCACTCGCTACACCATAGAGTGACCGTGGTTTATTGAACAAAACATCCGGGTTCGCACAATGCCTAACCAAACCCAAACAAACCTATTATTCGAGTAGCAACGCAGCCCTAGCCTGCACTCCTAAGCGTATTTCCGAGCAAGTTAGTTCTACGGAATAAAAGGCCGTTCGCTTCTGGTTGAATGTGCTTTGCCTGAACTCAGCGCAGTTTTTGCTTGAAGTTTATCGAAAGATCAAAAGAGCACGAAGTGACGACCCCCTTCCACTGTCCAAGGAGGTGGCTTTCCTCCAGACATGGGTAACCTATCTGGTACACTCGTAATCTTTTGCCATTAAAAATCATTCTGGCTGAAGTCGATGGGTGCTTAAATCAAACACAGCTGGAAGGTACCAGGTTGCCTATATCTGTGTCTTTCCCTTTTTAAGCCATAAATTATTTCTTCCTTTGTGGGAATCTTCATAAGCATTTTCCTACTGCCTTTCAAATGTCTTCTTAGGGTACTTTAAAAACATAGGTTGGATAAGAGGCCAGGACGCCATAGTTGTCGACCTTAAACCAAGGAAGTCGGCAGGATTTGACGCTGGGGGGGGGGGGAGAGAATCTAGCAACAACTTAAGCGATCAAGACAAAGGCCTCGTTCATATAACACGCTGAGTCTTCATGAGAGTTGTTTGTTAAGTTGGTGCACCTTTGAAGCAAATGAAGGGCTACGACGTCCAGTACCTGTTTATTCGGAAACAAGCCCAAATTCATTTCACTTTTTTTCTCACTGCATGTCATCATTGCAATCCTTACCGATTTGGGGGGGGGGTAGTGAACCAGCTTGTGTAGAATTGCGCTGAGAAATTGAATGTCATCGGGGAACTCAACAAACCTGTTGGGTTTGTGCTGT